GTCTTGTAGACTCAGTGACTCGGGTTAGGATGCGTCCATAAATGGCTCGGGCAGTGTTGGGTTCAGGGAGGGGTTCTAGCAGAAAGTTGGATTGACTGGCCAAATTCTTATCAATGAAATTCCCTTCGGCACCGGAATCAATAAGGGCTTGTATGGACAGGGAGATCGAGGGGGTGCATAATGTGGCCGGGATGGACAACCGTTGAGGAGCGTGTGTTGGGGCCGAGAGGTCGACTCCTCAGTATGCCCACACCTCCCGAGGAGTCCAACCTTTTGGCCGAACCGGGCACGAAGAAACAAAATGGCCCTTGGTGCCACAATAAAGGCACTCACCCTGGCTTCGTCTGCGGGTGTGTTCCTCCGGTGTTAACCGAGCCCGGCCCAGCTGCATGGGTTCAGGTAAGGAGCTGGACGGGGGTTGGAGCTCGGAGGGAACGGTAGGAAACAAGGGGGGGTCCCTGGTAGCTGGGTAGCGAAGCTGGAAATCAGAGGAGGGTCGGGCTGAACGTTCCTTCCGGCGTTCCCGCAGGCGGTTGTCCAGTCTAATAGACAGGGAGATCAGAGAGTTCAAATCGTTGGGCTCGTCTCGTGCCGCTAACTCATCTTTAAGTGTCTCATTAAGCCCTTTTCTGGTGGAGAGAGGCCAGGCTCAGACACGCCCAACCACACACAGACATGGGACAAGACACACATGACTGACAGAAACAGCAGGGGCAGGGAAACTGAGAACAAGAGGAAAAGAGGGGAGAGAGACCAACCCACAACAGGTTCACATACTTTTTCCTGCAGCGGTAAATATGTTCACATGTATTCTGGGTCAATGTACTGCTAAAGATTTTGGAATGACAAGATTTCCTGATTCCTTTTACTCTCTAATGCTAATCAGTATTTTATTTCTTATTTTCTTTGTTTTGGTATATATATAATTTAAAGACATGTTAGGTCTATGTACCTTTTCAACAGTTTTGCACAACTTCCTTGAATCTGTGGAACATGTTGGTCTCTTTTTTTTAAGAAATACATTTGAAACAAATTGTAAATTTCCAAATCAAACATTTTCCAGTACCCCTTTCTTCCTTTGTATTGAACATGCGATTTTGAGTGGGTGTAACAAGCACCTTCAGTTGTGCTCCTCTGCTCAAACAGTAAAAGTGATTTCAATGCAATAAGAAAGTAAACTATTTGTATCTTAATCTTGATTTTTATGTATTTGATGGCGCTGGCATTATTTCCTAAGCGATTATTGAAACTGAAAGTGATACTGTCAAAAGGCATGGGGGTGGGGGGCATGGGGGTGAGGGGCATGCCATCGAATCCCTCGAACCCTCCTAGCGGGGCTAAGACTCATGACTTCAGTGTTTCTAAAATACGACAGCCCTGCCTTTCATTCGAAGTACTTCCAACATAGAATTTGTTCCTACTGTTGATAGTGTCATAGTGTTGATAATGTCAATTATCCAGAGTAACCCGGACATTGGATGCTTCACTACATGCCATTAGAAGTGACTTGGAATTTTTTTTTTCTGTAATTTGCATGAACTGAAACTTTAATATTGGTATTCACTATGGTCTATGTGGAATTGACATGATGGATTTTTAACTGTTTGTTCACAACAATTCGAAGCTCTGTGGCACAGAGGAACAAGATACATCGGGCTTTGGATACGCAGACCATACGTTTTAGTCGAATCAATTCATTGTTGGTATTTGGTATTTGTATTCTAAAAATAAGGTAACAATTTGTACGCATCGTTCTAACTCTTACATTATTGATTAAATTAAATGAGTCTTCTATAGCCAGTTTTTTTTTTATTCTACATTCATCCTACTCAAAAATGTCCGTGCAAATTGCTACCTTAATTGCTTTGAATATTAGGAATTTATGTCACTCAAGTCTGAATAAATAACACACATTAGTCCCAGTTTTAATAAATTATATTATTTATTGTAAAACTGTTTATGCCCAAATAACTTATTTTAACCATGGAGAGTTTTTGTACCATCATCTGTGCACACATGCTCACTACCAGCAATAAGAAGGCCAGACTGAAGTCTCCAGTCTAACATCACAGCGTGTTCAGTAGCTTCAAATAAGCACATTGGGTTAAATATTTGCAGGTTGTTGCCAGGAATGACAATATATTCAAATTATTAATATGGATTTTGAAGGGCTGATCCAGCTCTTCACTCTTTGTGCATGTTAAAGAATACAATAGACAAATATTGCACACTAAGTGCAAAGGAATGCATGAATTTAGCGTTGCAGGTGTTCACATTCAGCCTCTATGCAGATTGTAGTCATAAATATATCAGACTGTGCCTGACTGTGTATGTTCAGAAGTGCAACGGGCTTGAACCTTTTAACCACTTGACTCAGTGCAAAAATGCTTTTGTACGTGTTGAATTTGGGCCATAAAGAGGTGGTAAACTATTTTCCTATGGTTGAAAAGCTGCATAAACTGAGGGTTTACCTTCCACTTTATCTCTGGTCGGGAGCCAAAAATCTCCCAGCAGACTGCTTTGCACAAACAAATGAGTGTCCTGATAGGCTGAGATAGTAATCTGAGCTGTGGGCTGCAAAGGTTGTCAAGGCGCTGATATGTATGCAGAAAAAAAAAAAAATTTTAAAAGGGTTTCAGAACAACTGGGTGGAAAACATTAATTCCTTTTTCTTTTTTCATCAGCTAACCAACAGGGGACGTCCCGCTTCAACTGACTGCAACTCCAGATTATTGTCTGCCTGCCTCTTTAATCTGGAGCTCCTCACACTTGAGTTTTGTAAAAGTGGAGAAATGCCATTTCTGTTTGACATGTCTCTTTTTACTGCAACCTCATGGTGATTTTAAACTGTAGTTGAGGTTTTAATTTGAATTATTTTCATGTAAATTTACAATTAAAATGTTAACACCCATGAGGTTTTGGCAACAGTGACTATTGTCCCCACCTACTCAGTGCAAAACACAGAACATGTGCGCACACAAGTGGGGTGCTGCCGTGTGGTTTATATACCAGAAGCTCGTACCACCGCCTCTTCCTTCCTCTCTGCTTTCTGCCTCCTGATTGTTATTGCTGTAGGATAGATACCCTTGAGACACTTACACACATGGATCTTTTCACACACACACATACACATAATATACCCTGAACATAATTATGAATGCAACACTTTTGTTTTTGCCCCCCATTCATCATGAGCTGAAAGATCTAAGACTTTCTCGATGTACACAAAAGGCCTGTTTATCTCAAATATTGTTCACAAATCTGTCAAAATCTGTGTTGGTGAGCACTTCTCCTTTGCCGAGATAATCCATCAACCTCACAGGTGAGGTGTATCAAGATGCTTATCAGACTGCATGGGTATTGCACAGGTGAGCCTTAGGCTGGCCACAAGAAAAGGCCACTGAAAATGTGCAGTTGCATCACACAGCACAATGCCACAGATGTGGCAAGTTTTGAGGGAGCGTGCAATTTGCATGCTGACGGCAGGAATGTCCACCAGAGCTGTTGCCTGTGAACTGAATGTTAATTTCTCTACCATAAGCCGCCTAGAAAGACGTTTCAGAGAATTTGGAAGCACATCCAACCAGCCTCACAACCACATGTAACCACACCAGCCCAGGACCTCCACATCCAACATCTTCATCTTCTTCCAAGATCGTCTGAGACCAGCCTAAAGCACACCTGTGCAATACCCATGCTGTCTGATCAGCATCTTGATATGCCACACCTGTGAGGTGGATGGATTATCTCGGCAAAGGAGATGTGGTCACTAACACAGATTTGTGAGCAATATTTGAGAGAAATAGGCCTTTTGTGTTCATAGAAAGTCTTAGATCTTTGAGATCAGTTCATGATGAATGGGGACAGTGTTGCTTATATTATACTTTAAAATTTTAATGATTTTAAACAGGTCCTGCTTATGTTGCATTTTGGTAAATACTGCTCTCCATATCAGCATGTGCTATTTGTTTGCCACCACTGCTTCACTGCTGTGTACACAGTCAGTCTCAGACCACTAGAGGTCAGACTAGAGGTCAGAATTTTCTCTCTCACACACACACACACACACACACACACACACACACACACACACACACACACACAAGTGCTGACTTGTGTGTGTATGTGTCTGTGAGGGGGGCGGGGCATCATTTTAACTTTGATATAATTACAGAAACATACAATGTAATGGGAATGTATGAATAGAATAAAATCGAAAAGCATAGAATGACATCATCATGGCTGATTGGTTGAGGCTGATTTCTGGGTTGGGCAGGACAGGAAACAAGGCACCGGGAACGCGCAGGGCACGGATCCGCGCTCCCGCAGAGTTTTTTGGGATCCGGTGAAGAGCTGAGGCTGCGTCAAGTCAGACTCTAAAACATCGAAAATAAGATCATTTCAGCTTCACAATAAAATACCAAGACGTTTGACGTGATTTTACTTACATTTGTACAGTTTTTTAAATATTTGTTCCTCAACAAGGTTTTTTTTTTATATGTGGCAAGGGTTCTCAACAGGGGATTGGAATCCACCCAGAGGTAACATGATAAATCTGAAGAGGGACTGTGAGATGATGGGCAGGATAGGGAAACAGGGGGGAAAAACACACATTTGTGCTACAAAAAGATATTTCCCATTAAAACGTCATCTGTAAATGCAACTGACAATGCAGGACTCAGCAGTGTCAGGGTAGAGGAAGGGTAGAGGGATAAAAAAAAAAAAGGCTATTCAATCAATCAAAAAAAATACACCTGTAATGGATATTAATAACAACTAAACTTAATTGGTGATGAGATATTATAATGTAAAACATAAATACACACAACATTTAGTTTAATAAAAACACTTCATTTGAGGGATATATTTCATTGTGATGATTTAGCATTTAGTTAAAATAAGTTTTATTTTATCTTTTAATTTACTTATTTATTTTATTGTTTGTGTTTATAACCTGACATTGAGAAGGGTATATTGTGAAAGTCAAGACCGGAAGTCGTTGCTTTCGCCTGCCTGTAACTTGACATCAGTGTCAGCGGTGTTGGGATTCAGTGAGGCAGCAGGGGAAATCTGGGAAATCTGGGATATCTGGGAAAGCGGAGTCGGTGAAACCCGGGACTAAACCGGAAGAAATCCCGACGAAGCCTTGACCGTTGCACCGCGGGGTTTCCCAGCGGACACATCTCCGCTGTCTCCCCGCTGCTGGCTGCGGGTTTTCTGCCTGAAATCTCCCAGGATCCGCACAGTAAGTAGCCCAATTCCCCTTCACCCAAACGCATCTCTATCCCACCACATTCACCCTGTTTTCTCTTTGCCACACTGTTTTACGTTTGGAATTAAACTGTTCGCAGATAAAACCGACATTAGACCTTTTATTTTGTCGCAAACGGATGTCGGAGCCTTTAATTAACAACCGCTGGAATAAAAGCCAATTAATCCCGTTAGTGGCTGCATGTGTGTGCAGAGAAAGGAGAAGGGGTGGGGGCGGATGGGTGGGGGGCAGAGAAAACGACCACCTTCACAGAAAAAAAAATGGCTTTCCCTTCCCTTTAGCTGGATAAATACATTGAAGTGGTGACGGCATGCACACCGAGAGGGCTGATTTCTGCCTGTAAGCGCCGTCATTCATGGTGCATGTGTGTTTTTTGCGGCGCTGGATTAAACGCCGCAGGGCCTGCAGAGCACGGACTCCCGGCCTGGATGCGCAGGTTCGCCGGGGAGCAGCAGCCGGCTGACAGCGCCTTTTCAGCCGGAATATTTGCGTCCAGTGCTGCAGCTCGGAGGCCAGGCGTGCGGTGCTGACACAAGCAAGGCGTGGCATTCATATAGCATTACACAGCTATGGGCGTGTTCCCCCCGCAGCTGCCGCACAAATGACTTTTGAAATCTATAGTTTATTAAAAAATGAATTTATTACAGACGTACGACCCTATAAATATGATTTCATCATTGCCCGACTCTAATTGTTTTTTTTTCTTTAATAAGCCGCCTGGTCAGATTTGCCCCAAGTCTCATTTAAAAGTAATTTAAAATTCAGCATCATCAGACATGCAGGCCTGCCATCTGTCTGTCTGTCTGCTGGCCAGCCTGTCTCACCATCATGTCCTCCTGCTCTAAACTAAATAGACTCACTGTCTCACTGTCTGACTTCTTGCAGACAGTCTTAATGTTATGAATTCTAACAAAGTTATTGGTAGAAATATTGTGATTATCCTGCCACACTGAACATTAGGGTTTATTAGATCGCTTTAGGAATTATTATATTTAGATAAAGGTTTCAAAATACGTTTACATGTTACCTTATGTTTACACCATGTTTGAAAATTTGTTCCCACACTGAGTAACATAGTGGAGCAAAGGATTTTATGCACTGATAGCACCACTTCCTTCATATATTTTGTTGCCAGATGATGTTGGACTGTAACTCTTATTGAAATGATTGAGGGTTTGTTTTTTGAAGAAAAATGGTGAAATGGTGTCTTAACACAAGCAATCACCCCCTGTACAAAAATGAAACTTTGCCTAAATAAAAAAAATTGGAACAACGAATAAGTAAGTAACCAAAGATTTTGATGCCAGCTTTCAGTAAATGACAGTTGTCTATATGGAGACCTATTTTGGTCCGTACCAAAGAGGTGTGGAAGTTTTATACCCTGCCTAACCCTCCTTGATGGTTTCATATTTAGAGATTGTTGATGAGAACGTTTGCCCTTTCCACTGAAAGTGGGCAGTGTCCATGTTTCCTTCCGTTTCCCTGCATTTTGTCTCCAAAGCAAACTGGGAAAGGCTTCGACCTCACTGTCGCTTTTTTTATTTGCGAAAAATTGGGACAGAAAAAAATACTTCTGTAATTTCTCATACTCATGCTTTGCTTGCTATTAATACACATCCCAATATGCACAAGCACAAGAAATAATCACATTGATGTCCATCACGCTGGACTGCTTAGACATGTTAAGCGTGATTTTAAACAAACCTGACATTCCTTCAAATGTTTAATACCTTGTTTGAACTAAATTGACTTACAATCATTAGAGATGGGAGGTTCTGTCTCAACACTGTAATCTGTAACCAGTCCTATTGGAGTCTAAGTGTAATCATTCAGACAGGCTGGAGACGTTCCACCTCTATAACACACTCGCGTGCAGCAAAGTGGGGCAGAATTCAGCCATCTCCCCGTAGTGTTGAGGGTTAACTGGAGTATAAAAATCCCTACTGCCCTACTTCAACTAAAGGCTGCTCTCACTGTATCCGACCAGCCAGTCAGCCTGAGCTCGACATCTGAGACGTGCAGGGTCCTGGTTTTTCTGATTCAGTATCCTTCACTGTTGGTTAGTGCTCGTCCCATGGGTGCTTCTGCTTTGGACTTCTATTGATTGTGTTGAGTTTTGGTAAGTGGTGTTCTTTTACTTCACATTGATGCCATTTGAGCAGCTGGTTATCACCAATAACGAGATTAATAAGAAGGGAAATCCTGACACAGTGTGACGCTGATTTCTAAATATGCTGATTTAGTATTGTGGTTTTGTAATATCATGATTTATCATTAAATTTATGTGATATTGGGTTATTTTTAACCCTAAAGATGTCAACGTTGGTCTGTCCACTTTGCTCCAAAGCAAGATATTGTGACAACTGGACAGATTATTATTACTTGCTGTGGGTGTTTTCGGTCAGTTCAGGATGCTACCTATGCCTAATGATTCTGCCTGAGCTTTTCCCTAAAACCACAGTCAGCTTAGTTATCTCAAAACTAAATAGATTTGTTAAATTTGCACTGGATGTTAATTTGTTGTGCCTGCTACATACTGTGTGTACTATGTACTGTTTATTTTATAGTATAGTTTTTTTTCTAGCATTGTATAAAATAAATCACTGTACTGTTTTGCACAAACAGGAAATTATACAAGACTTGAACCAACTAACATCAAACAGACTGTGACCTTGGAATGTCACTGACAATTAAACTTCACAGACAAACACACTATTTGTGAAGTTTTGCTGTTTTGTCACCATCTGCGTTTTGTTTTAATGTTTTGCAGACGTGAGCAGTTGGTCCATTTCCTTTTTGTATGTGGGAAAAAAGTGTACATCAATTGCACACTAAAAAATGAAGTATTTAATAGTATGAATTCTGACATTTTTGAGGGTACTGTTGCTTTTCTATCATATCTAAGATTAAGTATCTAGTATAGAATCAGGACACAATAACAGTCCCCAGTGAATGACTCCTTTTTGTTTGTTCTTCGTGACCTTCAGGCCTTTCCTCAAGCACAGTCGTCAAGTAAATAAACAATCCACTTTTCCAATGGATATATCATCAAAATGCACAGGGAAGATTGAGCACATTCAAGGTTCCCAGAGTATGATTTCAATCCATGAGCTTTCCTATAGCCCCATGTGCAGAGCAAGACGTCCACCTTTCACCCAAGATGTTTTAAGCGATGTATTACAGTCATGGTGACAGTAATGTAGATAGTAAGTTTGGATAATCCACAACTCAACACAGCTCAGTGATTGGTCAAGGTTCACTGTCTTGCTCACTTAAATAAATGACTGTTGTGGGAATTGGGCATCTGCATTTCCTGGCACCGGGGAGGCCTGCGAGCGTTAAGAGACGATGTGTGTCTTGTGTGCTTCCTCTGGCAGCTCTGCAGTCATCTTCTAAACATCAGACTAAGTGCACTAGTTACATCTGGATCAGCTGCTCTGGTGCAGTGTGTCAGAATCTTCTCACTGGTGGCTACGAGAGGTCAAAACAGGTCACCATCTGATGTTTTCTCCTTCCGTTCCGTCTGTCTTTCTGTGTGTGTGTGTGTGTGTGTGTGTGTCTCTCTCTCTCTCTCTCTCTCTCTCTCTCTCTCTCTCTCTCTCTCTCTCTCTCTCTCTCTCTCTCTCTCTCGCCAAGTGTATGGAAAAGTCATCCCTCCTTCTCTCAGGAAATTCCTCCTTGTCCCAGGGGTAAGACAGACAGAGAGGGTGTGAAGGAGCAACAGAGCAGATCTGCTGCAGAGGGACACTCCAGACCCCGGTTTCTGATTTAGTCTCTTATTTTGTTGTGAATGTTGCCCTATCTTAGTACATTGAAGCAGTTGTTAAGAGGGGCTGTTTTCCCCTTGGTGCATTCAAGAAAGACATTTGAGATTTGGCCCCTACAAAGCCATCATTTTAATGCAAGAAACAATGACCACTGTGAGAAAGCCCGTGAGAATTTAATGTTTTCACACATTTCACATGTACATGACCTTAGCTTGGATTGAGAACGGCGACATATATGGGAACTTACCACATGTGAAACACCAATTTACATCTAAGTAAACAGCACTTAGCTATAGTACAATGTTTTAAGGTGTTGTGTAGCTAATAGAGTAATGCAGCACTCACTCATACAGCAATGTAGTAGTCTATAGTAGTAGTCTGCTGTGTCAGTGCTGAACCTGCAGAGACACTCACATTAAATAGCATCAGGACTGCAGCAGGAAACTGGAGCTGGGATGTGTGTGTGTGTGTGTGTGAGTGTGTTGAGTGTGTTCTTTATTCATGACTGTCTGTTGGACCGCTGACTACTTTGTCTGGTTGGCAGTGGGCGCTTATCTGCTTATTTTAGCACAATAAGGGTAGATAAAACATAAGGCTCATGGCTAACTAGCCTAATGTAGGGTGGCTAGTGTGGCTTTTTGTCATCATGGAAGTTCAGTCATGCTAATTGGCTAATCTAAATGCAACATACTGTTTGTTTAGATTCACTGATTTTCATCAGTAGCGGAGTGTCGGGCTCTGTAATACCAGCTCTCTCCTATCAACAATTTCAGTCTGTCATTACTTTGATATACAGTGGTGATGTCTTGATGTCTTGGTGAATTTAATTGTATATTCCTCCCCTTTTCTTACAGTTGTACCTCCTTCCACAAATGTATTGTCACACTCAGTTGTCAGATTATTAGGTGCAACTAGCTCAAATGATTGCATCGGAATTCAACAACAATACATCCTGTCTTCAGGGGGGATTTAATGCTCAGAATTTGCCTGAAGCTGTCTTAGAGAGGCGTAGATTCAACGTTCTGGTAAATTTGGTGGCTGTTGAGGTGTTTGATACTTTGTCCATGCCCTTTACCCTACCTATTGAGGGCAGACTTCACTGCAGCAGTTGGGGATTTAAGACACTGTTCAAAGACCACTTCAGTGGACGGAAACAATACTTCATTTTCCTCTTACAGATTAATCCAGCCAACCCAGGAATCAGCT